TACCGTGTTTCCCCGAAAATAAGACATCCGCAGAAAATAAGACCTAGCACAGATTTTGCTGAATTGCGAAATATAAGACCTCCCCCTGAAAGTAAGACCTAGCGAAGTTTTTTTAGTCGTAACGGTCATCGACAGATGGTTGAAAGTGGCCGTTGGCTTTTTCAAAGTACAGCCACTGATTGGTCAGCAGACAATTACGCCACGCGGCATGATTTGCATAAGACTATGGCTTGGGAATCACAGATTTGCATAACGTTACAGCTAGTGATGGCTAATTGGTCGGCCGGGAATCACGCGAAATGACATTTGCATAGTGCTACAGTTCAGTAAGCACTAATTGGTCATCGAGTCTGATGTTGACGCTATAAAAAGGCGACAGTTCGACACACCGGATGTACGTCACTCTCGTCTAAGTTCGACTTAGGAATTTTTTTGTTCAATAACGAATGTGAATCCTTCTTCCTGGAAAAAATAAGACATTCCCTAAAAATAAGACCTAGGCCCTTTTTCAGAGCAAAAATTAATATAAGACACTGTCTTATTTTCGGGGAAACACGGTAGCATTACGTAGCATTTTTGTAAATAACCCACCCCTTTTTTAATAACTTTCTGCCCTATATGAATAAGAGGGCCTTGTTTAGCAAGCATTATGGGTTCGGCCAGGTCCACGGTGGGGCGGCCGGATGATGAGGACGGAACTCGACATATCCGGACGGACCACTCCCCGAAAAATTCCTTTGGATTTATCGACCCGTCCGGATTCGAACCCGGATCCACAGAGCGGTATGCTGACACCTTGACCACTGGGCCATAGTGCCGGATTAAGAGGCGGGCTAACCGGGAACCAAATGTTGGGGCACCAAAACTATAGTCTTGGAGCATCTGCTCCTTCCAAAACTAATTACATGACATTCAAAGCATTTGCTATAGTTCTTTGCGTTCCGAAAATATGCAAATATTGAAGAGCTATAAAATAATTTATCTTCTACCGACAGTCACCTGCTATATTTATATGTATTTTAATTTATACTTTGTATGTTTATAGAATATTCTGAATACCATAGTTAATACCTTACTGAAGGATTTGAAAATTCTTTGACGCAACTGAAGAATAAGCACTTTTTTCACTTTACTGCGTATTGTTTTTTAATTGATTGGTATTGTTGTAATGGAGGGTGGCAAATATTGTCCGCGAGACGCCAAATTTAATGCAATAAATAAAAAAATAAACAAAACTTTTAGGAACGGAGCAATATTTGTGTGGGCTTAGCGACTGGGTGCGTTTGTCAGGATCGTCGTGTGGTCACAACTATTGTGTTGGAGTGGCAATAACTCTCTGAGACAAGCTTTCCATCTTCTAACCCACTATATACCCAAAAGTTTCTTACAATGTTTTGCAAAGTTGCCACGTAACACAGCTCGGGGAGCGAATGAAATGTCCACTCAAAAGTCCGACGTTCGGTTGGAAGTTCTCCTTTCGGTCCCTCGATAACGTACGTTGCGATCGACGGCCCGTAGCGTGCGGCACGACTTCGGGAGAGTCTCCGGAGAAGGGCGAATCAGGACGAAGCAAGACGTCACGGGAGAGCGACGGTAAGTTTCAGGAGTTAACAAATCTATCGCTGCTGATTTTCAGGATCTCAAAAATCCTGAAGTGGAACACCAAGAACCAAGAACGTCACGTCCTTGAATCGCGCGTATTTATCAGTTTTACACCCAAAGTCGCCTTTCCGTTGGTCTTTTATCGTCACCTGGTGACAATTCGAAACTTGGTGGAGGGCGCGGAAGAGGTCAACATCGCGACTAAACCCGACTCCTCTCTAACCACATTTTCCCGACTTTGGTCTTTTCAACACCATTCTTCCTTTGTTTTAATATTTTTCCAAAAAAAAAAAAAATATTGTTTAATCGAGACCTTTAATTTCTCCCTTTCGTGTTGTAAAGGAGATTTTTAAGATCTTGTTAATACCCCCCTTCGGACGTCCAAGTCGATCCTCGTCTGGGTACTTACATTTGCAGTAAAAAGAATAATTTGTAAAAAAATTACTTAATTACGAAACTGAAGACATGTGAGGCTCTGGACAGGTCCGAACCCGCACTAAAATTCACGTTAAAATAATTTTGTTTTAAAAATATATATATAGAGGAGAAGGTGTTATTATGGAACCCCAATTACATTTTAGTGAATTGTAAACAAGATATCATAACTACATTCACATTTTTTGTGCGAAAAGTACTGGTAACTAGTAATCTAAATGTTTCTAATTGGATTTTTCGGTGTAATTATAAGTATGGTTTTTGAAGGCTTTTGTACAAAAAGTCCGAAAGTAGGCTTAGAGAAAATCGGGTGGTAATATGGAACCTTACTGTATATTTTCAAAAAAATGTTTTAATGTTGCCAAAAACAAATAGGAAAGGACAAAAAATGTTAAATAATTACCAAATTATTTACTCCAATGTATTTTATCGCAAAAATGCTTTTATAATAGAAAAATATGACCTCCATCAACAATATATATTCCAGCAGCTCCTTTTCGATATTCTCGGGAAGAATTGGCTTTCTACCTAATGTCTTTTTCACAACTTGCTCTGGAGGAATGTCTGCTTGCAAATAGAAAGTTCGGAGGAGTTGAGTTCCATATTACTGTAAAAGCACCAATGGGGTCCATATTTCACACATCACCATCTTGAATTAACTTATGTCTGTCAAGACCAAATTTTTAAAAACATGAACATCACACAGATTATGTACCCCTAAGTCTCTGGAACGGAATACATGCACCAGTGAACCTACAACTACACGATATATATTTTAAAAATAATTAAATTCACTTAGCATTCACAACTTGCGAATTTTGGAAAAAACAAATTTGTTGATTAAATACGGACGATCGTTTAACTGAAGTAAAACAGGTTTTCCCCTCGCTATGGATGTCTGCCTGGTTCAGTTCAGTCACAATCAGCTACAGTTCGATTTTATTATCAGTTCGAAATGGGGTGGTTCCATAATACCCGCAGTGTTCCATAATACCACCTTTTTCTGTAGTACATTGGCAGGAACAAACTTTTCGAAGAAATTAAATATCCAAACAGTTTACTTCCTGAAAACATCAATTCGCCGTTACAAACTACAGTAGAGCGTCGTTTATCCGAAAGTCGGTTATCCGAAACGTCAGTTATCCGAAATAATTCCAGTTGGCAAATTTAAATTTTCAATAATGCCGTGGCGCTTCAATCTTTGGCTATGTCTTGGGCTACTCCAATATTTTTTTTTGTTTATGTGTGTGTTTTAGCTGGCAGCACTAGCACTTTTGTGTGGTGTTTTTCTGAGGACTGTGTGTCCTGCTGAATCGAACGTTTTTGATACTAGATTAACTTCTAAAGTATAAATTTTTTTTGTTTTTTTATTCAATATATTTATTTTGTAAAAAATAAAGAAATAATTTTTAACGAGACAATAGCCACGATTATTATTTTAAAAAGTTTACGTTAGGCTTAACATCGACGAAAATTGAACGCGAAGCGACACTCAACGGAGAAAAATTTCAGCATGGGATAGGTTAATATATTTTTTTGTACATAATCGGTTATCCGAAAAATAAGTTATCCGAACAATTCCAGTCCCCAATTGATTCGGATAAACGACGCTCTACTGTATACAACTTCTGAAAGCGAGCAATTTGCAGAATATAGTTCCAAATACGTGAGCCGTATTGAAAATTTTACCGATAATACGTAAGTATAAAAAACTTAAGACATCACATATGGACAAAGATCAAGATCAAGATCAGAGCCGGAGCGCGAAATTTCGCGCTCCTGCCCTAGTCTTGTTTTGGTCTATCCCGCAACGCTACTCGATTCAGTACTAAACGTTACCTAAATGGTATTTGTTCGTTATTTGTAAATCGTGGAAAGATTTCATGAGAAATCACATCTGACAAGGGCCATCGAAAGCTAGTATGGAGCCTGGAGCTTTTTTACTCTTTCTGCCCTGTGAGCACTAAGAGATTATTTTCGGTTAGACCCAAAATGAGGCTACCGAAAGGACGGACGGGATCAGACATAACAAGAACAGATCATCCCAAAAATTTCTGGTGTTTTCGACCTGCCCGGATTTTCCCGAGCGGTAGACCCTTTTCTTATCGAAGTGTGTGAGATGTTTTTAGAGCATTCACATGTTTTTCCGGCAGCCGGATAGCCGGTTGAAGTTGAAAATCTCAGCGTTGTTCTTGTTTTTTAAATAGAAAGAAGTTATGAGATACTTGAAACGAAGCTGGAATTTTGAAAAAAGTGCAACGAAGCACTTGTTTCCACCTAACTTTAATGTGAGAAAGAAATGAATCTGACTAATTTCTCCTTTTACGTGTGTTGAACAACGTTGAGAGACGGCCAAATGGCCTAGCGATCAAGGTAGCAGTCTACTGCTCTGGGGACCCGGGATCGAATCCAGACGGGTCGATAAATCCCCAGGAATTTTTCGGTGGGTGGTCCGTCAGGATATGTTGGACCCCGTCCCTCACTACCCGGCCACATCATTGTGGGTATGGCCGAACCCTTAATGGGCCTTTTATAAGAGGTCTTAGTGCCCACAGAGCGAAAAGAGTTAAACACTGAGATGAATTAGAGATGGCGGCCGTCCTGTTAACAAATAAATATGGTTTGTTTCCCTTAGGTCTAACACGCTTCTATCGTACCAAAACTTTTCTGTCCAGCTCACTTTTTTCTAAAAGAGGGTTAAGCGTCTTTTGACTTATCTTGTGTTTTAAATTATACAGGAATATAGTCTAAATGAAATGTTTTAAAAGATATTTTCTGAAAATAATTTTGTTTTTATTTTAACATATAATTGATATTATGGTGTTAAATACATATTAAAATAAAAACGTTCAAAATATTTAAAAGTAACACATTGGTTGTTGTAACAATTTCTTTATTTAAAATAAATATTTTAATACGAAAAACAAATAAAAAATTTTCCGTGCACTACACTCCATAACCTCCAAATGTCTTTGGCAGAATGGTCATGGCTGTTTATCATAGTTTTATAGGAACACGGAGTAATTATCTGATGCAAATTGTTAACACCTATCAGACGTAACCTCTTCACACCTGTAGCTTCTGCTAAAATTCCAGTGACGAATACGTCTTCTAAGTGTAGAGGAACAGTTTTAAGACTTTCTTCGTATAAAATGGGAGCACAATCACCAGTAAATAAATAAGCCGGACCAGCCAAAAAATCGGGATAAAAATAGTTCGGAAAGGTTTCTACGGGCATAAACCATTTATTTTCCGGATCTCGACTGGGAATCCATCGATGAGCTAAAAGTCCATACATGCTCTTGGCTTCTACTTTATCATTTACGAATTTGAAAAGGCGGTCAACATTCAAAAAATTATCGTCGTCAATCTTTAAAACAAGTTTAACTTGAAAACAGTATTTCGAAACCCACTTTAAGATGGATATAGTTTTTATAGTTAAATTCAAGTAACTGTCGAAAAAATTCTCTTGGATAATATCGTGGTGGATGCCATCTTCTTTAACTATATCGCTCTGCAAGTTCTCTTGATTCGGATGCCCAATAAAAAATATTAATTTTGCACCCAATTTCCTCGCATATCCACCCCAAGTTTCTCTTATCACTCGCCTTTCTTCGAAGTGTGTAACTGCCGAAACCACCGTAATCAATAAAGATAATCTATTCCCATTGTTAACACACAAGCCAAAATGGTTAATTATGAATTTGTATGGATGGGCATTTACTATTTTTGTTTCGGAATCGTTAAAGGAATCTGAAATATTAAAACGTATCGTCTTATTTTCGTCGTCGTACATTTTAAAAAATGATCGATTGATACTATTCGTGACTAAACGTCCTTCGTTAATGAGGCTAAGATTTCGAAATAAATTCACTGAAGTTTTTAAAATATATTCTTTATCTATATTCAAACTATAAAAGATGATTGTAACGAAAGATATAATACAAAGTATCGGCAATAATTTGTTAAATTTTGTACAATATTCGATCATATTAAGAACTCTTGGGAATACCTGTAAAAATAAAAACACTGCGTGAAAATTTGCAAAATATTCATATAATATAATTTAATTAATTCTAAATAATTTTGCTTTAATAATACTGTATATTTTTTGAAATATTTGTACGTACTTTAATTGTGGTTTAATTTGTTAGACATTTCTGTTTCGATTATATGATATATTCAAATTTATAGCACTTCTTTCTAGTGTTAGTTTTTGGTTTCGGTTGGCGGTTGACAGAACATTTTGCTTTAATATATGATGTATAGATATATAGATTTAAGCAGTAAAATATTAAAGTATTTGGCCCTGCAGTTTATCTAATTGAACTACAAACAAGACCATGCCGACATTTATAACTGTATTGATTAAATTTCTACTTTCCTGGCTATTATAGAATATGACAATGGAAAAAATAAATTTTGACTCCTTCTCCCGATATTTTGAATTTTAAGAGGCAGATTTGATAAGGTTAATAGAACTATTAAAGAAAAATAACATAGCTTACAAGTTTGAGACTATTAGTATTGAAAGAATATACAGTAACTAGCAGTTGGGCCCGGCGTTGCTCGGGCAAAAAAAACTATAACTAAGATAAAGATTATTACGTTACAGTCAACCTTACCCGTTTTCACAGAATGCAAGAATTGGATCCCCTTGTTTCCAGACTAATTAGAGAATTTTAGATGGGTCTAAAAATATGTTCGATTTCCCGCAAAAACGAAAAAAAACTGCACCTGCGTATTGCACGTCGCTTTCTCTTAACAATTCCATTGTTACGTAACATTTCCATTGTTGACACTTCCATTGTTACTTAAAACTTTTATTGTTACTTAACACTTCCATTGTTACTTAACACTTCCATTGTTGATGGAAGTGTTAAGACTTAATCCTGTCCCTCTCCCCCGTGGGAAGGAATTTCGAAAAATCCCTTCTTAGTGTGCGTTCTCCTAACGTACCCTAACTGTGTACCAAATTTCAACTTTCAACTCCTAACCGTTTGGGCTCTGCGCTTATTATTATTATTGTGTTGGGTTCAGTGGGTAATACTCGGTTAAACCGGTGGCTGTGTACTATGCCGGACCAGAGTCAAGGCATAGCAACCAAAACAAAACTAAAATTAAATAAGTGTGTCAGTGTCAGTGTCAGTGTCAGTGTCAGTATTCAGGAATTTCCTAACAATGTGGCATGTATTCAATATAGTGGCCTTCTGTAGTGTGATGTATGTATTTCTATTCAATTGTAATGTTCCCAGGCTTTTGTGTAGTGTGTGTGGTATCACACCTGTACAGGAGAGAACAACAGGTACAATAAGCACCCTTTCCATCCTCCACAGATGCCTTAT